ATCTCCCCCAAATGGGGGACTCTGGGCGGCTCACATGATCCCTTAAAACAATAAATATATCTACAATTACACAAAACCTAGAACCTGTGCAAAACAATTACTAAACAAGGACGAGTGCAGGAGGCCGATGGTCCAGGGCAGCCAACGCAGGGCTCCAGGGGGCCAGCCAACCCCACGCCTGACGCCTCCCCTCCCCGCCCCAGGCCGGGTGGCAGAGCCAGGCCTGCAAAGCCCTCCGGAAGGCCGGGAGGGAGATGCTCCAAAGGGCGGACCATAGATACGCACACCCTGCCCAGTTATATATAAAACAACTTGCAACATACTACATATAGCTTCACACAACACAGTCAGTTGTTTGTGATTTAATTTATAGGTCACCCAACTCACACACAACAACTTTGGGTGGCTTACAACTAAGGATGACGGCTGGAGACTGTAGTGGTTAGAGCACCGCCTTTGACGCAGGAGCCTGGGATTCAAATCCCGGCTGGTGCCCACCTTGCCAGGTGGGTCCTTGGGCAAACTCCCGCTAACACTCCACCTGCCTACCTCAGATATGAGACTGACACGAAAAGAGAGAGTCGTGCCAGCTGGGACGTCGCCCGGATTAACAAGGTGTGCGCCAGATGTTGGAGAACCAGGACAACCTCACCTGACATTAAGTGGGCCACGGGAACAAACCATACATGGACGAGACAAGAGAACCTGGGCTTGATGGAATGCTACTACCACAGCAGACCCGACGAGGGGGAAGATATGGAACGTAGGAGGGGACTTTGGGTGGACAGAAGACCTACATCCACACTAACTGAGGAACAGCTTGTTACCCAGCGCTTCAACACAGTGAAGAGGAAGCTGCTTCACAGCCTGAGACAGACCAACTCCATGTTACAACCCAGACTCCAGGAGACCGGGAAGAACAGCTGGATGTGCAGCCAACACCTGAAGCTGGAACGTCACTGCCACCCCCTCCGTTACAGAGCACAGCAGCTGATAGGAGGCAGAAGATCATGGATGAACTAGCTACAGTCAACCCTCGAGACCGATCACCAAGGCTCAGTGGAGAAGTGCCATCGCGTAGCATTTATTTATTTATTATTTATTTATTGGATTTATTTGCCACCCATCTCCCCCAGAGGGCAGTTCTATATAAAAAGACTACATAGACTATATAAAAAGACTATATAGCATGCTAGAAGATGCCAACGGAGCCCTCACAACAATCCCTATTACCACCATAACTCA